ATGTGGTTAAATGGAAGCTGGAGCATGAAAGGATAGAGATTCTCACCCATGCGTCTAACTATGGACAAGAGTAAATGACTAGAACAAGAAATGGAAGTGGCTCACGTAAAATAAAACAAAAAAAATAGGTATCAGACAGTGTACAATTTGATGATGCAAAGAAAGATTTGTCTTTCCCAATACAAAGCAGAGTTGCACTGTTAGTGTGAGGTCATTTACTGGGGATGGTGGGAAAATTTCATTGGAATTTTTTTTCTATGGAAAATACGATTGATTAAACAACTATTTTGGAGGAATGTGTCTGCTTTCCTCAAAAGCTTTTCATTTTGCTCCAGAAAGCTAAACACCCAAAAACCTTCTTGGCAAAAATTTTCAGCATTTTTGGCCAAGAATGTTCTGGTTTTGGTTTTTTTGATGAAGAGTCAAAATTTTCAGTGGGGGGGCCAGAGGGAAATCCATTTTCTGACCAGTTCTAGTATCTATTTTTAGGCTTCAGGGATTCATCCAGGCATTCGCTTTTGAGGTCCAGGAAGAAGTTTTCCCTCAAGGCAGGTTATCCCATAACTGCAGGGTTTGTTGCACCTTTCTCTGAAGCAGCTGGTGCTGGTGCTGTTGGTGACAGGACACTGGATTATAGACAATGGTCTTATACAGGATGGCAATTCCTATGATGCTCTCTAGCCTGTCTACACTTGGCACGTTTTGCAGTATGGCTGGTGGCATATTCAACATGAGGGAACAGTGATTAGTACAAAGAGCAGGAGCAAATCTCTGGCCTGGCAATTGGGGGCTGGAGATAGTGTCGATTCCAAGCTAGATTCCTAGGCCTAGTTTGGTTTTCAGGGCCCTATTTAATCAGCCAGTCAAAAAACAAGGCAAATCAACTGTTGCTCTTCTGCAATTTGTTTTCCTTGAGGTGGCAGACACCTATGAGAGGCTAATTAACCTTCGGGGTTTAAGGCAGAGGATTTTATGTTTGTTTGTTAGAACCTGACTAGTTGAAGATTACTGTAAAATTTTAATTAAGTTATGCAAATTGTTTCCCCACTTATGTGCTATAAGAAGATGGCTGGCAGCAGTCTGTGTTTACATCCGCGTGCAAACATACACACGCAACACACATATGCTCCAGTCAGAGTCACTGCGATGAGGGGAGTCAGCTAGTGTGTACTATCTCCAGGACATAACACACTCTTGATGCTTTCTGCTTTGATAATGCCATTGCCCCTCCTGCTGTCCTCAACTACCTGTGGGTCCTGGTGCCATCACATGAGGCTGCGTCATCTCCGTGTGGCTTATGCTCTCACCCTCCTGCTGCCAGCCCTCTCCATCCACTTGCCCTAGCTCTGTACGGCAGTGGCGAGTTGGTGCCGACCCTCCGAGCAGCACCCTCCATTGGGGGGGAGGAAGGGGGCCTAGGAATGACTGAGCAGGAAGACCCAGTTCCCATGAGTCAGGCAGGGGCAGCCATCTCTGTGGGGCCCGAGCAAATGCACCAAACAGATATTGCAGAGCAGGTTACCAGCCTGGCATGGCCTGCTCCCAAACCTCTCAGGGCTGCAGGGTTTGGCATTGGGGCAACAATCGCAGCATGAGCAAAATGACCCATGAACAGGAGCAGTGGTCAATTACAGAAACAGCCCTTGCCATGGCATTCTTAATGGTGTGTCTATGTGGCATGTGTTTACGGGCAGAGTGTGTCCGTGTGGGTGAGCACCTGTTACTGTCTATCTGACCAGCTGTCTCAGGTATTTCCCAGGTGCCCATACCAAGGGATCTGAGCACTGGGTGTGCAACTCTTGATTTCTCTGACCCTGCAGGAAGAGCTGCTGGGTGTGCATGCAGGGTGGAGTGGGTCACCCTGCTGTCTGTGTTCCGATAACCATGGTAACGCATGGTACTGGAGACTCATGCCCTGGGCTTCCCATTGTGAGGAATTTCTCTATTGTGTTAGCCAATCATCACAGAGGAGGACCCTGGATGGTACCTAGTCACAGCTGGACCAACGATTCTGAGAGCCAGCTGAAGTGTGAGAACCTGCCATGCTCAGCTTCTTGTGAGGGTTTTCAAAAAACTGCACCCCAATCTTTTTTCCTTTTTGTCTGTGCATTTTCAGCAGCTTTTCCCAGCATAGCCCCCTCCCCCCCTCCATGTCCCCTCTCCCTCACAGAAATGCTGTGCCCTCAGGCGTCCCAGTGAGGGAAAGGGAAACTGAACTGAAGTTTTAAGATGGGAATCCAACAGCTTCATGGTGTGGATCACCGAAAAAAGAGAGGGATCGATTGATGGACCCAGCTCCTACCCAATCCCCTGGGCTTATCCTCACAGCTCAGTTCTCCATCTACCAGGAGTGGCGTGTAAACCCCGCAATGTAAAATCACTGTGCACTGTAAATGAATTGGGTATTATTCCTTTAAATAGTTTGGGAGCCCTAAGGGCCTCGCCTGACTGCCTTCTAGTGCACAAGACACCAGAACCTGAGAACAGCAGTGCACAGATGGAGATGACCTTGTGAGCTGGTGTATTGCTAGGGGAAAACACTCATTTGGAACCCAACTGTGGTTTTCTCACACCCTTAGAGCTGTGTGGAGAGCACAGACACAACGTGCCGGTTAGCCCCCTTGCTCGGGTTAGTGGTGCGTGCAATCAGTGCACGTGTGGGATGGCTGGTAGAGCTGAGAGCTGGTACAGGGAGCGCTGCAGATAGAAGCATGCCCCAGCAGGTCCCTGTTTTAAAATGGGAGACGTTATAGGAATCAGGACTCCTGGGTTCTCTCCCTTGCTCTGCCACTGATGCACCATGTGGCCTTGTGGCACTCACATCTCTGACTTCAGTTTCCCCCCCATTTGGTGAAGTCGAGGTTAATAGGGACACCGGGGGCTGGGAGGATTCATTCGTTAATGGCTGCAGAGTGCTCTGAGCTTCTCTGAGGCAGATGAGATGCTCCATGAGTGCAGTGTGTATTTGTTATCCTGATGCTGATTAAGGTCTATTCCTGGCAGAAAACATTTTCAAAGGAAAGGGTGCAGACCCTCTCCCCTCTGCACGTTGGGGCAATCAGACACTTGCTTAATGCCTGGGGTGTGCTATAACTTTCTTTTTAAAAAGAGAGTGAGTGAGAGAAAGGGAAAGAAAAACTATTTTATTTCAATGCAAAACTATCTACTTTAAATACCCTTTTTATTACATTATCTGCATAGTAATACTAATAATAGATCTTGTTGGCAGTTCTAATGAGGCTGGAGAATATAAGGTTTCCAATAAAGTTAATTGTTGCCTTTAATATTCTCATACATTTGTACATGGTAAATCTTTAAAGGAGAAAAACCCTCATTTCGTTCCTATTAACCATTCAAGAATAGTCCAATATCTGATGGGGAAAGAGCACATGCTCCTGTCGGCCACTCACTCAACAACTAACTTTTGCTTTTAGCCCCACTTTGGGCTAATGAACTTGAAGGGGAGGGATTTTCCATTTCCTGAAGAGGGGGCTGGAATCCAACATTAGGGCACGGGTAAAATGAGTGAAAGTTCTCCACTGAGGTCAAACCGGATATTTCTGCAACATATAAAAGCCCTACATGGTGTGACACAGTTGGGTAAGATAGGAGGAGCCCAGGAGCGGTGTAGGAGTGGGGGTTGCAGAGCTGCTCTGCAAGGGGAGCTCTGGTCCCACTATTGTTTGCATGGCAGAGAAACGTGTTAGCAGGCAGGTCTGGCCCTACAAGCCCCTCATGACCCAATCCCCTTTCCTTTCCTGCAGCCTCATAACACAGCTCCATCTAGGCTGTTTTTAGTGTAGGGTCTAAACTTCATTGTAGCACAGGAGGAAGATGAGCTGAAATGGCAGCTATCTCCATGCCTTGGGGCTGATTTCTCATGGACATCTCCCACAGCGGTGTTAACCTATGGATAGGTAGGACAACAGGAATCCCAACTTGAGGTGCTTGCAGCCCAGGTACATGATGTATGAATGGAAGCATGAAGGCCAGGGACGTAACTAACAGTGTAATGGCTGGCACAGGCTTGCTCACTTCTTGTTAAGTCTGTTAGTGCTGTTTGGAACTATGCTGGGTATGTGGTTGGATTTCCACTCTCTAGCTTTATCACTTCTCTGTAGGGAGGGACTGGGATCAACAGGCCTTTTAGAAAAGGTGCACATCAAGTGGGACTGGAAGGAGAAGACTGCTGAGGCATGATAGACTAAGTCAGAGATGGGATTTGGATGCTACCATGATGGGTGTCAACATAAGAATTCAGAGGGATGATAAACGGACAGATTCTTCGTGGCTGCAGCTACATAGAAAAGGGCCCAGAAATCAGAGTGCAAGAGACAGACACAGGGGTTGGCTTGAAGCCTCGTATGGATGGAGTGAGGGGGATAAAGGGGTAGGGTGAAGAAAGATGAGAGCATGTTGTCAGTGGAGCTAGCACGGAGCTTGGCCAAACTTGCCTCTGAAATTGCTTGTTTCAGCTGAGTGGCCACGGAAGTTGGGCAATTCCTTTCCAGTGCTCCGTTTTACCCACGTGGTGTGTCCCTCCGTTATTCCTGCCCCATCTCCCCCTTTCCCTCAGCATGTCAATAAGCAACTACTACAGCAGCAGGATAATTTATAAGGGATCCCACCATTGGCTGTGCCTGAATTCATAACAGGTGGTTGGCTAATTAAGTGTGCATTATGCACACAACACTGTTTTGCTCAATGTAATTGCAGATTCCATATAAATAATTCACAGGGAATTATTATACTGAGGACGTCACCCGCCTCCTCATAATTTGCTTAACTGAAATAGGCTCTTTCATCATTTTGCACAGATTTGCTTTAAGACCATGTACACAGCATCATTTACAGGCAGGCTTCAGGGAAGATTACTTAAATTTAATTAAGTTATGCAAATTATTTGTCCACTACGTGAAGAGCGAGTGTGGACACCACTACAAGATGGAGTTTAAGGGCAGCAAATAGGAGCCTTAAACAAAACAACAAGAATAGCTTACCTTTCATCCTAAGGGGGTCCTAGTGCTTTTCACGAACGGCAGATAGAAATCGGTGCATCCACTGCTGAAATGGCATTATTGATTTGCATTATAGTAGTGTCCAGTGGCGTTAGCTGAGACCAGGGCCTTGTGGTGCTAGGAGCTGCACAAACACATAGTGAGAGATTGACTCTGCCCTTAAGAGTTTACAGGCTACATAAACAAAAGAGAAAATGGGGGCACAGGAGAGAAAGGAAGGATTATTCTCCCCATGGGTCAATGGGGAAAACAGGCCCAGAGGCACAGATCATCCAAGGTACTGAGCCACCTAACTCCCATTGAAGTCTGCAGGACTTGGCCACTGGACTCATGCAGGAAGGGATAAAGCAGGGGCAGAGGATGGGACTTTAGCGGCAGGATGCCTGGGTTCTACCGCTAACTGACTGCGATCTGAGGCATTCACTTCTCTGTACCTCAGTCTGCACCGTGAGGAGAACGACACTGCTATCGCCTTTGAGGCCAAGACCATACTCTGTAATGGCACGAAGAAGTACTTTTATTATTAACTATGGAGCCAATGTTTTATGTTAAGTAGTCCCCTTCCCTTCCTTCCTTCGACTGTTGTGCAGTGCTGCTTGGTGCTGGTAAACAGCGGCTATGTTTCATCCCAGAGATGGCTGCATTTCAGTGGCGGGTGAAGTGACCCCTCTGGTTAGTTTAAGTCTGTTGAATGATTTGGGATGAAAGGTGCTGTATAACTAAGATCCTCACCATCAAATACACAAACAGCAACACCACACAGGTGTTTAGGACAATCCACTGTTAGGTGAAAGTCTCGGTTTATCCTGCTCATTCCCATCGGAATGGGGAACTTGGCCAGACACTCCCCAGGTCTCACATGAGAGCACTGGCAGGTATTTGAGGTTGCCAAGCACTTGCTGTCACCACTGGATTTGGAGCCATGGGGGAAGTTGTGAAGATAGAATGACCGGGGGAATTCTCCGCTGAGGGAATTTAGGATGGAGGAGGGTAATACTGGTCACTCTGGGAGCGCTGGCTTTGCACTTCAGCTTGACTTTACTGACCACAAAATGTCACTTAGTTGGAGACGTGTTTGTACTTAGGACTGAAGTGCTGCAGCAGAGCTATAGGGGGATCTAGGACTAGACCATTGAAGAAGGGGTTTGCCCATCAGGACTGAATTCGAGTGGCAGGGCTGGATGGCACAGAAAGTATTACTTTCCTCTTGAGATTGATGGGAGCACAAGAACCCTACCCTGGCACAACCCAAAGGCTTTTGCACCTTTGTTTTCATGAGCACTAAGATTCAGCCCCAGCACTGAATTAGAGGGGTAACATTTGGCATGGTCTACTTCTGCCATCACAATCCTTTTATCGTGGTTGGAGATTGTTCTCCCACCCAGCAAGATGCCACAGTGACACCAGCTTTGCACGGAGGCCTGAGTGACCAGCCACCTTATCTTGTTGTAGCAGGCGGACCTACTTGGACTGGCTCATTGAGTACGCCAGCAATTCATTCCCCACAGCTGGATAGCCCCCTCCTGTCACACCTGACTTTCAAGATTGTAGTTACCATGGCACATTGGCTGCTCACACTGATAAGGGAGTCAAAGAAACTGAAATTGTTCTTTGCTATTCAGTGGTGCGGGCAGAGATGGGGCTGGCAGCTAGGCAGAAAAAGGCCATTCTAGTCCTTTCCTCCTCCCCGTCTCCCTCTATTTCTGTCTCTTGGACTTCATGACAGGGCCGTGGTGCTGACTGCCTATCAGCCTGAGCTTGGACAACCAGAGCAGGGGTGGGCAAAACATTCCTTGTTCTCAGGACTGGGGCTAGAAGCCCTTGACCCTAGGAGTGGAATCCATGGGTAGGCTGCAGGATCTCAGTCTGGGATTCCCTCTGTGAACGTCACCACCAATTTCTTCACTCATGTAATCAGGCAAGAAGACACTCCTGGTCACCTGTGATGGGGAAAGGGACAAGAAATGGAACTGAATTGTCCCTCAGGATGAGCAGTGGCCATCCTCATGGTTTTTAGAGCGCTCGTAAGGGGAGGGCATCCAAGAGCGCTAGTCACATCAACTAAAATGTGCAAAACTGCAAGCCATAAAGATAGCCCTCCCGGCCCTGTGAAATCCTAAATCCATGGAAGTCAACAGGAATTTCACCACAGAGTTCAGTCGGGCCAGCGTTCCATCCTCTAGATCTTGAAATCACTGGGAGCTGCAGGTGCGCAGCACCTCTGAAAATCAGGCCACTAAGTAAATGCTTAATTATGCATTTAGGTGCCTAATTGTAGGCACCCTTCTCCAAACAGTTTGGGCCAGAACCTCTCTGCGCATCAGTTCCCCCCTCTGCAAGGCTGATAAATAATAACTGCCTTGTGCAGTGTTCTGAGAATATGAATATTTGTCTAGGGCTTCAAAGGCATACATTGCTGTGTGAGAGGTAAGTCTTATTTTCCCAAACAACCAGTTTCTGGTCTGTACTTATTTTGTATCCAGCTTCTAGAATGTGTTATGACTCAAGAATTCATTCCCCATATCTGACTGGGGGAAGGGGTTCCCTTAAACTCAGCCCGGCCATTCTGACTGTTCTAGGAAAAAGGTGAGGGGGGCTAGCTAAAAATCTTCCCCTTGGCCTCTCTCGCCATCATCTTCATGCCCTCCTCCACATCCCCTCTTTTACTACATGTAGTAGCAGGGTTACTGCCAGTTCCACCTCCATATCCCTGCAGTGGGGTGGCAGCAGAGGGTAGGGGGGCCCAGGCCCACCGTACTCCACCGGTCCCAGTTAGTGGCAGGTGGTCCCGTCCCTCGGTTAGCAGGGAAACATACACGCTATCTCACTTGCCAGCAGTGTAACCACTCTAAAGTCTGGTTCCCCGTGGCTACTTCCTACCCAATTCTGCCGTCGTTGCTCTGTCAACACCAGGATCCATCTTGCCGCTTGGCAGTCGGGTGGCATCCTCTCCAGTAACTTCTCAGAGCCTTCAGCCTCCTCAGGCAGCAGGACGCTAGTCTGCTTGGCCACTAGCCCAGGATCCCGGCTTCCTAGAAGAGATGTCTGCTTCCTTCCCTGGTCCAGCCCCAACTGAGCTACAGGGTCCTCCTTTTATACTTCCTGTCCTGCCCCACTACTTCGGGCAAAGGAGGCTGAGCAGGTTTGGCTCCGCCCACCAGGGGGAGGGTAACAGTCCCTCGCTTTTGTGTCCAGAGGGAGACCACTCAGCCTCACTACACACCGTCATCCCCCGAGAGCACTGGCTGAAGCCTGGAGGGAGGATTTCACCTGTGTAGGGGACTCTGGAAGTTGCACAGAGCCACCACAGCTAGCAGCTCCTATGCGACGCCCCTGTGGCCAGCAAACATGGGCCAGGCAAGTGGAGAATGGACAGGTTCTGTGTTAGCCTCTCTCCAAACATACAGAACAATTCCTTTCTCCATCGCAGGTATTTACAGCCTTCAGGGACTTCTGGAGAGCTCAGGGTGTCTATTTCCTGGGCAGGCAGGCTGCTTTCTGGCCTGTCATGAATCTGTTTGAGAGTTTCCTCAGTAATTCCCAAGCAGGATCTTTGCCCCCTTCTCAGTCACTAGGGTTTGTTTTTGTCATAAGGATCCCTATGTTTCTAATGAGCAGTTAATGAGCTGTCAATTACTTATGCAAATCGGGGAGCAGGCACTGAGAGCACTCTGTCTGCACTTTACAGTGAGACCATTACCTGCAAACGTTTGGGAGCAACTCCTTCTATTGCTAGCAATGCATCTCTCTTTTATTTTATGTTATGTTATTTATGGCATTGCAAAAGTCCAAGTACGACTGATTAGCTAAAATAATTAATGCATAATGAAAGTTAGCACCTTCCATCCAGGGATCTGAAATTAAGAAGTAATTCTTTGGCTCTACTCTACGCTCTTTAGGCCTCAACTGGAATATTGTGTCCAGTACTGGGCGCCACATTTCAGAAAAGATGTAGACAAACTGGAGAAAATCCAGAGAAGAGCAACAAAAATGATTTAAACTTTTAGAAAACATGACCTATGATGAGGGAATATTGAAAAATTGGGTTTGCTTAGTCTGGAGAAGAGTAGACAGGGGACATGAAAACAGTTTTCAAGTACATAAAAGGTTGTTACAAGGAGGACAGAGAAAAATTATTTTTAACTTCCGAGGATAGGACAAGAAGCAATGGGCTTAAATTGCAGCAAGGGAGGTTTAGGTTGGACATTAGGAAAAACACTTTGTAACTGTCAGGGTGGTTAAGCACTGGAATAAATTGCCTAGGGAGGTGGTAGAATCTCCATCATTGGAGGTTTTTAAGAGCAGGTTGGACAAACACCTGTCAGGGATGGTCTAGATAATACTTAGTCCTGCCATGAGTGCAGGGGACTGGACTAGACAACCTCTCGAGGTCCCTTCCAGTCCTATGATTCTATGAATACTCCTCACATAAGGGTTGTATGGGTTAAACCCAGGAGAATGAAAGTGACTAGAGAGACACTCACTGAAGCACTCAGGGAGGTCTCTGAAATTTAAATCTATAAGCAGCTAGGGTGACCAACTAGCAAGTCTGAAAAATCAGGACAGGAGATGGGGGGGGGGGGAGGGTAATTGGAGCCTATATAAGATAAAGCCCCAAATATCGGGACTGTCCCTATAAAATTGGGACATCTGGTCATCCTATAAGCAGCTTCCCATTCTATTGTTAAAACAAAGGAATAAATCTTTCTTCACTAGAAGCTGAATGTAATTTATCTCTATGGAGAACAGGTGCACATAGTTTTACATTTCTAGGTATACTCTGATAATAAATGTGCTTGGAAGAGCCATATAGACAATAGTACAAACAAATGTAAGGGTAGAATTGAACTACTTGTAAGTATTGTTGGAATGAATTGGGGAGCAGATAAGAAAGTGCTCAAGATGCCACGTAGAGCATTAATAAGATCAGTCATAGATGATGAGAATCAAGTCTTAAGTGCTCCATCCAGATCAGAGCTTAAAAATTTAGTCAGTTCAAACTCAAGCACTACGAATTGCTTGTGGTGCATTCCCTACAACACCAGTGTGTGTAATGCAGGTCGCTACTGGATTAATGCCTATCAGTTTAAGAACGAAAATGTTAGATCTGACGTTTTGGACTAAAGTCAAGGGAAACAGAGCAGAGCAGAGAAGAATAGTGGACAAATATGAGTCATGTTGGGAATTAAGCAGATGATACAAAGCCCAACACAATCTCGCTCATGCTCTTGGGGTTAAAGTGTGGGTAAAAGAGGTAAGCAAAAAGGAAGGACAAGAAGAAAGTAAGATCCATAGTTATGGGGTTGTAAATTATACCTGGAAAATCATCTCTCCAGATTTGGATTTCAAAATGTAATAAAATAAAGGGGGAAAGAATCATTGTGTATGACAGATTAAGTTTGAGTTATAGATGGTAAATGGGGTTGCCATTGCCGAATGTATAGTGATGGATCTAAAGATAAAAACAATAGTAGAGTTGGAGAAGGTTTTTGCATCCCTGAGATTAGAGTCAAGAAATTTAAGAGAATATTTAATTTTGTAGTCATTATGACAGCTGAATTGGTGGGAATAATGTTAGCATTAAACAGGATAAGGCACGTACAGCCTACCGCAGCTGTTCTCTTTTCGGATTCATTATCAGGTATACTGGCAATTCAAAAGAATACCTCAGAAAGCATGGATGATCTAAAAAATGAAATATTGTTTTTGACAGAGTTAGTGCGCCTGGGTTAAATATAGTACTAGCATGGATTCCAGCACCTGCTGAGATCGCAGGCAATGAAATGGCAGAGAAAGAAGTGAAAAATGGTCTAAAAATGGAGAAATTGTTATAAAGATTCTTTTGAGTAAACAGGAATTATGAAGTTTTGTTAATAAAGGAATGGCAAGAATTGTGGACCAAGGAGAAAAGAGATTCTATAAAGTGTGCCCCAAAATAGAGGGTAATGGGCCATTGCAAAGTTCTGAAAAGATCAGTGAAGTGCTCATATTTAAACTGTTAACTGGGTACTGTGGTTTAAATAATAATTGGTATGTATTGAACAGACAGAGCTGGGTTATGTAACACATCAGGTTAAAGAAACAGCCAATCAGCTGAAGTAGGCTGTAGCCCAGGAAAGCTTATGCTCAAATAAATTTGTTAGTCTCTAAGGTGCCACAAGTACTCCTGTTCTTTTTGCGGATACAGACTAACACAGCTGCGACTCTGAAACCTATGGGAATACAGGGAGCGATCCAGGAAAGACAGGCTCTTTCTGATGAACTTAGACACTTTACGGTGACAGACTGTACTATGAGGGATTTAGTGAGAGTGCTGGGAACAGGGGGGTAATGCTAAAAAAGCTTTCCTACATTTTTTAAAGGCTATAGAGTAGGATAAGAGTGTAACAGCTTGAATGTATAAGTAATATGGTAGCTGGTGGTTATATGGCGAGTCTGCTTCACCATAAAGCAGAAGACAAAGATGACGACTCCTCACATCTGTGGGAGATACTTAGTATTATTGTTCCCATTGTAGATATGGGGAAACTCAGGCAAAGAGAAGGGGAGTGACTTATCCAAGATCAGTGTGACAGGGGCAGAGATACTTAAAGGAAAAATTATTTTTCAGCTTACCTTTATTTATTACATTACAAGTAAAACACAGTTATCAAAGATCATAGTTTTTACCTAAATAGATTTTAAACTTGAGCTGGATCCAGATATGCTAAATGATAAATATAGTTATCAGAATAAGCTCTCAATGAATTTACATCTAGGATTTTTCAATGTGAGAGAGAGAGAGAGCACACGAACACGCACATGATTTATAATGTGTATGTAGAAGGGCAAATACTTATATAACAGCATACTGTCAACTTGTGGAACTTAATGCCCCAGGAAATCAGTAGGGCTAAAAGTGCAATTCAATTCCTAAGAAGGATTGGCTATTTGCATCAATGAATCTCACAGCTACACCTGCTGGGAACTGGAGTAACAATGTTACCAGGCACATCAATTGTCATGCTGCAGCATGAAATGCAGCCCAACAAGGGTCAGGAGGGAATCCCATCTTCAACCGAAAAGTATTCTATATGTAGCTACTTGCAATTGGATATTTTACATGGAAGTACTATGTGGCACAGAACACCGGTGATCTGTGTGGCACAGACAATGTTCATGCTCCTGCTATGTGGACAGCACAATGGGCCATTTTTTATAGTTTGTCATATAAAGTTGCCTCGTTTTTGGCATGCGCGCACATACAAAAATATGCTCAGCCGCTTTGGGCACAAAGTGTTAAGCTCCGCCATGCTAAAGGTTAGCAAAAGACCCGATAAATGCCCACTTTAACAGAGAAACATTTTTATCAGTAACCTTTTGAGAAGCTAGTTTAATTGCATGCTAACAGACATTCACAAAGAGCTGCTAGGAGTCACACGGAAGGGAAATGACAAGCATTTGAAGGGTTGTTAAAATTTGAACCTTGGCTTTGTGGGGTTTTACCTGGAGCATTGCCTGGGTGCCTGAAGCCGGCATGTACTCAGCAGCTGTAGGGTTGAAAATCTGCTCATGCAGGTATGATTGTATGGTGCTCCGGTATGTGCCAGGCTGTAGTATCTATGGCTAATGGCTACAGTCCTGGGTTAAAACAGATACACGTGTGTGCATCTTAACAGGGGGTTAATGTGGCAGCAGGAGACCTTTAACAATTGTGTGATGGGTTGTGAGGGGAGAAGACGCTTGCTTAGAAGAATTCTACAAGCCCAGAGACAAGGGAGCTTTTCTTTTCAGTGTTGCAGTCGTTCGACATAATGTGTGAGACTCTGTAGAATGCAGAAGGGGTGTATCATATGCATGTCACATATATGATGTGTGTTTGTGTGACTGGTTGCAGAACCAAGCTATGAGAAAGAAAAATAAGATCAAAGCTCTCAACCAGAGACCTCACCAACCAGAAGCCAAACATCCACCAGGTATTGTATAAAAAGATAATGATTGGCTGCAGCTGTCCTCAATACCTGGTCCATCTACCTAGATTTCGTCACCTGCCCCAGCTGGGAGAGTCACAATAGGGGTAAGGGTGGGGTAAGAATACCCCAAAGGTCTGGTCCAAACAAGAAATACTGCCATAACTGTATGAAAGGGGTCACCTTCACTTTCCTCACACCTGCCATCATCCCTACTTTAACCCAGGGCGTGAATGTAATGGTCATAACCAATTCTTCCAGCGGTACAGCTATCATTCAGATGCATTATTTATGAGTTGGGGAGAGATGTTCAAAGGCAGGAAAGAACGTGTAGCCATTGCTTCATTGATCCCAATAGCCCATGCCAGAAGCCCGCTGCCTTAGATAATTAAATAACAGTGTTGCATTCAGACAATCTCTCTGGGGATTTAATTATGCTAAAGACTTTACACTAATGCTAAGGGTTGGTGTTGCCAGAGCATCTTCCACCCCAGGGTCTCTAAGCCCTTTGGAATCCTCAGAGCCACCCTGGGAGATGGGTGGCTGTTATCTCCATTTTATGGGGCGTGGGGTACGGGAAGCTGCAGTACAGAGGGAGGAAGTGACGTGGGCAAGGCCACCCTGAGGGTTACTGGAAGATGCCCATGCATAACTCAAGAATCCCGACTCCCACTCTGTGCATGCTCTAACGGCTCGGCATAGCGCCTGCTGCCATAGGGCAGCCTAGCATCAGGATGGGACACCAGTTGTAAAGGCTGGCAGGTGAAAGGTTAAACACTGCCCTGTGATGGGCTGAGTTGAGAGCATGTGAAGTGGACAAGGGATTAGCAAGGGGCACAGGTGAAAATGTTAGTGGTGATAACTGAAGGCTAATTACATCTCGCTGGCAATAGACCACCAGCTACTGTAAGCCATACAGAAGGAGAGGTTAGAGTAGCAAGAAGGGTTGTTCCTCCTAAAGGGGGTGTGTGTGAAGCTCTGTACTTACTGTAGAGAGGCTGTTTTCTTTAAAGGTTCTTTCCCCCCCTTATTTAGTGATGAGACCTCTTGGGGAAGGCCAGGGTGAGTCAAGCAAATGAGGACTGTGAACTGTTTGTGGAAAACCACTTTCAGTTCGGTTTTCTCGGGGCTTTTTCCTCAAGGGGACTGAGCTGAGGGAAACCCTCCAGGTTTGCGACCACCTTGCTAGTAAGTGGGTTCTACAAAGCATCAGCTTCTGAGGCCTGTTACATTCCCACCAACCAATAGTCTTCCACTCCCAGTCCTCTTTCCCCGCCCCTTTAATTTGGCTTATTTTAAAACTCGTCTGGTTTTATCCTCCTGGCCTCTACATAGCTATTTATTTTCAGCTTTTTCCTTTCAGTTGCTGTGTATTTACAGAGCAGAAATTAAACACTCGCTGATTTTAATGGCTTAATTTAAAAGAGTGTGTGAGCAGATATGTCATGTTATTATTTCTATAGCAGTAGCACCTAGGGGCCTCCATTGGGGATTTGGGACTTCATGGTGCTAGGGCTGCACACGCATGAAATGACAGAAGTATTTGGTCTTCAGAGAATTTATGATCGATGTCATGACTATCCTTTCCTGGGCACAGGCTCTGTCCTACTGCTCAGGCCGGCCATCTAAGCTAGCACATTCAGCAGAGAGGCCTCAAAATAAGGAAAGGAAGGACTGGTTCAGCTGTGTTTGGGAACGCAGCTGGGAAGAGGGAGCGTGGTCTAGTGATTAGAGAAGACAATGACTAAAAATCTCATGGTTCCAGGCATTAGCCAGTTGCCTGTAGGGGTCGGGAAGGATTTTTCCTCCCCTTTTGCATAATTGGCCAGATTTGCCTTCCTCTGAAGCATCAGAGATTGGCCACAACTGGTGATGGGACACGGGATGGGGTGGACCAGTGCTCTGAGGTAGTACAGACATTCCTCTTTCTTAGATGCCTGGTTGGCGTGTCTTGCCCATACGCTCAGGGTCAAGCTGATGGCCAGATCTGGAGATGGAAAGTAATTTCCCCCAAGTTGGATTGGCAGGGATGTTGGGTTTATTTATTTTTTTAACCTTCCTCCACAGCATGGGGCATGGATCACCTGCTGGGATCTTACCTAATCAGTCCTGTGCAGCTGAAGGGGGTCTTGTGCAGTGGTAGCATCTCAGTCTCTCCTGTTCTCTGCCTGCAGCACACAGCGGTTTAGCATCCTGAAAAATGAAATGCTTTGGTCTTACTAAAGTCACTGGGCATCACAAAGGGGTATCTGGGTGGAACTGAATGACCTGTGCTATAGGTCAGGTGGTCAGACTAGATGACCTGGCCTTAAACTCTATGAAACTGGGTAGGGAGAAAGGATATCTGGGTTATGAAGCCTAATGGTTGTGAGCCTTTGATGAAAGGGATGCATAATAGTATAACTATGCTAAACTAAACAGGAAATAATTCCTGGCAACGATGCCAGTCAGGCAAGGGGCAGCCTCCTGCTGGAAGTCAAGGAGGCCCCATCCCTAGAGATATTTCCTGAGAAGGCTGTATTTAATGCACAGAGAAGCTGGGAGGAAGAACCCCAGCACTTCTGTAAGGGTTTTGGATTGGGAAACTCATGGTCCTTTTCCAACCCTAAAACAAACCGGGCTGTTTGAAGCCTGGTTCGGGGGACCCTGTCTCCCAGCTTCATGTAGGACTCTCACGCAAACTCAAGCCAAGTGATTTATTTAATCAACTGTAAGATACTTTGTAGTCAGAAAATGCCCCTTTCCTCTGCCCCACTTCTCCCACTTCCCCATCCCTGATAGTCTAGAGCTCTGAGCAACAGCTCATCATACCCAACCCCAGCTACAATGCAACCCTGAAACCAATTTGGGATCTTGAGCCAGCTGGATTCTTGTAAATATTCCATTCCCCCCCCCTTCTGTTATTTATTTATTTGTATTCTTAAGAACATAATATAAATAAAGCACCATTATAAAAATGGCAGGGAAAGTTCAAACCTATTCATTATCCATTTTGCACAGATTAAAATTTCCATCAGAGCTGCTTGGTTTTGACTTGAGTTGCTTTCCTTTTAATGAGCTTGATATAGAAGGCAAAAGATGCTAATTCATCCTTACATCTCTATCATATCCTGGCTTTTGCTATATAAAGCATCAAGGTCGCATTCTGGGGAAATGTCTTTTTACCAAAGGTGCCATAATAATAATGAAGAAGCAATTTGTTTCAGCAAACTGCCTACAGTAATGAAGCTTAATTATAACCGTGTTATTAATACTTCTGCTTAAGGTAATTCACTTCTGAGCGGGGCGCAGAACAGTAAACTATAATTTAAACACGAATCGAGACCTAATTTAAATCATCAGATCTGCTATGGAAAAAGGCAAACAGAGTGACTGTGATCACATGCAATTCAGCTTTCCCTCTGCTCAGCTTCCTGTGAGTTGTCTGGAATTGGAAACGATGCTGTGAAATGTCTTAGCTGTGTTACAGTTAATATGCGCCTTTCTGATGGGTTGGAAGAAATAGAATAAAAGCTGCCCCTCCTGTACGTGTGCACAGATTAGTGTGTCAGCAAATATATACACCACATGCAGACTGAAATCCTGGCCCATTGACATCAATAGGAGTTTTGTCATTGACCTCAATGGAGCCAAAATTTCACCCTTTATTTTTATTATGAGTGTGTGTGTGTGTTGTGGTAATAGTACCCAGGCCCCTAAGCCCTGGACCAGCACCCCATGGTGCTAGGTGTAGGTACTATACAAAACAGAACAAAGACCGTCCCTGTCCCAAAGAGCTCACAAACTGTCCCAAACTTCCTGCAGATAAGGCTTTGTAGCAATTATTCGGCTTCCTCTTGCACCATTCCTGGACTTCCTGCTATCCAAGGTCCTGAAACACATCCCAGGAAGAGGCTTTGGCACTAGCTTTCACAAAGAAGGTGCACTACTATTACTAGGCCAGTAATTACTATAATTTTTCTTCACCACTGTTTTTAAGGTGTGCGCTTAGTGATTGGGGTCCGGGGTTGTGGGCACGATCTTTTGCCTCCTGTGCATTTGCTTCCTCAGTGCAGTCACTGGAGGTTTTAGGAAGGTCTCTGCAAAGTCAGAGGTTTTCTCTAACCCAGGTAAAACTTTTAAACTCTAAAGAGATTTTTTTTTCCTTAAACGACTTGGAGATTTTGGGTAAACTAAAAAGTCAATCAATGAGTCAGTCGGTGGCTCTAAATAGCTCAGAATGCTCCAATACACCAGGGCTTTCACAGACACTTGGCTTCCTGACTCCTTAGAAACTCCACTTCTCAACTATTTCTCCTCTCCAACTGGCTTATACCACCTCTGGATCACTATCCTCCAAGCTCTAAAGCAGTCTCTCTACTTCATTTCCCTTTCTCTACTCCAGCCTCACCTCCCCGCCACACACGTACAACTCTTTGCGGAAGGCGTCTCCTCTCTAGAATGCTGTCTTTCCTCCAGTCCTCCACGTCTGAGCTCCCTCCTCCCTGTCTAGGCTTCCAGCTTAGAACCTCAAGCCCTGAAACCATCTTTTTCCTTCCCCACACTCCTGGCTATTTTTCTTTCTTTCCTGTACTTTCAGCATCTCCAATCACAAGCCACACCCACGCCCTCTTCCAGACACCTCTCCCTCTCAGCACTCATGGTTATATGAGCTCCGTGAAGCCAAATGACATGAAATGATATTTCTACTTTGCTGGTAATGACATTTCCTTGTAAACCCTGCTTGAGTAGGAAATAGAGTGAGAAACCGAAACACACACACACTCCTTTCCCATTCCTCTTTGGGGCTTGCTGTCAAATCTGTATTTCCAAATTCTAGCATGCAAAATTCATTCATCCGTACAGGGTTCAGGCAGCTCAATTTGCTTGGTGATTATGCCTAAATTCACCCTTGGCATGGCCAGGTATGGCTCTGCTAGAAACTGAGAGAAGGGGACACATAGAGGAGGAGTAAATATATGGAGTGTTTCTTCTGGGGAAGGGGGGAAAAAAAACCTCCATCATAGTTCCACTTGAGTGCAACCTCCTGCAGGCTGTTTCATCTCCTATTATCTAAGCTCCAACGGGGTGTCCAATTTCAGGAACAATAACTATAAAGTCATTTACAGTCCCCTGCTGAGAGACAGCATTACGATAGCCTGGGTAAAGCAGCAAACAGACTGGATGGCCCCTTCTGCAGAGCTGGTCCTGAACAGAGTCCCTAAACAGGGCAGGTGCAGCAAACCCTCTCCCAGCCAGTGAAGGGAGAAGGAGCAGCCTCACATTAGCTCTTCTCAGCAAGTGCTAGGAGAGTACAAATGGGGGAGGCACTAACTCTCCACACCTGTACCACTATCAAGACAGGTCATTGGGGCAGGGGCATCAGTTTGAACAGAGCTGAAATGCAGCTGCCACAGACGAGATACAGGCCTTGCCTACCCTACATCTTCCTTCCAATTTCCTATCGTCCTGCTAGCGTCAGTGCCCCTTACTATGGTGGTAATTCTGGTAATGTGGGCTCTTTGTACTAGGAACTGGAAGAAGAGAGAAGTTCAGGCAACCTCAGATAACCCTGCACATTTTGCACCAGAAGTGTTTAGCTTGTTTCTTCACTACTCATTCAATCCTCAGCTTGCTCATTTTCAGAGGGGTCCAATGCTAAACATCCTCCACCTACCTTCCTTGTTACTGTCTCCTGGAGCCCCAGCTGAAACCACCCTGGACGGTAGCATGCATTGCTCAAATCTTCACCAATTCCCATAGCTGCGCCGTCAGAGCTACAGAGTTAATCCATGCTAAGAGACTGGGTCTCAGCAGGACCAAGTCAACGGAAAAGCTCCTGGAGCTGTGTAAATTGGCCCAGCGGGACTGACTTCATTAGCTAGAGATTACTTTAAGAAAAGAGAAGACGGGGTGGGGGGCAAGAGAGCACGTGTAAAGATTTTCTGGGCACGTGTGTCACCTTGTCAAACATCGGTGATTCCCCAAGCTCCCATCGCACTCACATATATGGTTACAAATATAAGCAGCTCACCAGCTGGCTGGGAGAGAGCAGATTAGCACTTGAGGGCAGTGGGCTGCCCCCATTTTGCTCAGCACAACCTTCTCAGCATGGCAATGAGTCTCTCCCGCCCTGAATGGGGAAAGATTTGAGAAAGCGCTGTTAGAGCCTAATGCAAAGTCCTCTGAAGAGAACGGGAAGCCTCCCATTGGCTCCGATGCATTTTGGATTAACCCCTTATTGGGCAATCGCTATGGTTCCTAGCTGCCCACTGCCAGTAATGGCCATTCTGCTGAAAATGGGGATTGGCTTTCAGACCAGTGAGATGAGACTGTACGACCCCCCTCTCCCCCCCCCCCCCCGACGAAAGCTGTGCCCTTAATGGCAGTCCAAGCAGAAGGGTGAAGATCTTATAGGTCTTGGGTAGCGAGTCCTCCCTTGTCACTAAAGGTGATCTCACAAGGTCAGGAATGGGGCTGATTAGGAGGGAGGGGGATGTTTTCTCTGCCATTCCCTATGCTGAGCCTGCTCTGTAGCTAAATACGAGTCCAGTTTCCAAAGATGTCAGTCTAATACTTCTCACAGAAAAACATCCAATAAAAGGGTCATTCCTGGGTAAGCTCTAAAGGCATTTGCATGTGAAATGTGCCAGGTTCGTAGCTAGGAGTTCCCCTTCTCAGGGAGATGGAAGCCTGCACCTTCAAGAGACACCAATTGCTGCAGAGGTATTCAGTGATTGGCAGTTGAAGAGGAATGCTGCTTACTGCGGGGGGTTTCAGAGCACGATGGTGGCATCCAGGAACTTTCTTTTCACATAATGTGTTTCTGTGCGTTAAGGATCTGATCCTGCATAGCGTTAGTCTGGAGGGCTGAGCATAAAAGCTTAACACAAACAGAGATGAGCAGGAAAAGGAGCACAGGGCAGCCTGATTTAATGCTAGTCCAGATTCAGACCTACTAGACAAGGCTAATGATGTCTGTAGGCCTAGTCCAGATTGAAACTGGTGCATTCAAGATCAGACTAACCCTTCCTGAGACTGCAGCATTCAGTGCAGTCATGCCTAGCACTTACCCTGATTTCACCCGTGTGTAGCATTCACTCACCTTTGCACTGAAGTGCAACAAGCTGGAACTCCCTGCTGTGCACCTGCAAGGGATTGCAGGGCCAAGGCTTAAAGAAGCTACCTTTCCACAGACGCCTCTTTCAGGCCCTGCCATGTCATCAGAGTTGAAATGAATATCTGAAAAAAGTGAATAAACCTGTTAAATGGGGCTAGAAAAGCCTCTTTCTGAACCTGAAGCAATACTACTATTCCTAGGTCTGTTAAAAGGTAAATTGAATTAATCGTAGAGGCTCTATATCAATTTGTATGAATGGTCTACGTGATTCAACACTGGGAGAGGGGAGTAAAGGGATGAACCTATTATGGTAATTACGTTATTGCACATCAAAGTAAATGTGCGAAGGAGACTTCTGCTGGGCTGTCGTTTTATTCAGGTTTAGCAAAGAAATAAAAAGTCTGGGGAACTAAGTGTTCATTCCAGGCTGCTGCAGAACTCCAGTTCAGATTTCTTCCTTCCATTGGCTTTACCCAGAATCCATTCCAGATGGGCTGAGAAATCCAGTTCAGATTCCACTGGCCCCCTTGGAAATGCCCAAGGGTCCATTCCAGGTGGACAGAGAAATCTAATTTCAGTTCTTCTCCCAGGACCTGATCTGAGAGCCATTCCAGCTAGGCTCAGAAATCCAGAGCTGGACTCAGCAATGGGAGTGACATGGACCTTTGTTCTTTAGAGGACTCACTTGATTTCCAAGGGGATTGGTGGGTCCAAAGGAAAACTGCATCACCTAACCAGGTGTGTTTAATTTGGAGCCAATTTAAAACAGGCAGGAGGGGGAGGAAAAAGTAAAGACAGAGGAGACTTTAAAAAGAGCAGAACTTTTAATTGGGTTTTCTCCGTTAGTTAATCAGGAAGTATCTCAGTGACAATTAGGTCAAAGTCTCTGGCATATTTGCAAGGCTGCCATCTATCATTAGCCCAACCCGTGCTTGCAGAGTGGTATTTTTCAGCTTCCAACAGGCAAGAAAGCCCTTCTCAGAAATTAAGGTGAAGCCCATATTACAGACCAAGGAGGTCAGGCAGTCGGCAGTGATTGATGGCCTGGAGCTGGAAAGAACAGCTGTTGGTTAGGTCCAGCTATGTTATAAACATATTTGCAGGTTAGCAGCAGCTGCCGATTCTTGAATAAGTGGATGCAAGGGCTTGTCTAGACATGGTGCATTTGCATTGGTGTGTCCACATGAATGTCACTACACCTGTGCAAACTTCGCATGTAGACATGCGGCACCAGGGCAAAATGGGTTTGAAGTGGTGCAACTCACCCTAATGTACAGGAGTAAGTCACACCCATCCAAGTGCCATCTAACACTGTGCACCATATCTACAGTGGGAGTTTGCATTGCTGTAGTTAACTCAGTGCAAAAAAACCCCCCAGTATAGACAGGGCTTGAGTTTCTGCTAGGGTCTTGGGAGCCGGAGCTGTGCATGGTTTGTGTATGTTCATCTACCCAGAGAGCAAGAAAGCAACCCAGACCTCTTGCACAGCTCTGTCAAATGCTAGATACAAAGCAACTGGGCCCCACAGCTCTGGAGAGGGGAGAAGTGATGGGCATTGACCGTTCGCTGTACAAGCAGTCATAGGAGGCAAAGGATGCGGCTGCCCCCACAGTAAGCTCCATGTGCAAAGAAACAATATTTGTTTCTCAAAGCTAGGCAGCCTGTGTCTCCACAGGCTGCTTTAACCTCATTGTAGCAGTGAGAAAATGTTATTTTCCCTGAGTCAGTGTGTGCACATGCCAGTCCAAATGAATATTATTCACACAGCTCTGTCCAAACATGTTTAAATCCTTTAAACCTGGTTAGGCGCCCAACACTTTCTTTCTCTCGTCGAGAGAAAATAAACAGGGACACTCCGCTGGGACTGCTACAGTCAGTCTAGCACAAGGGTGAAGCTCAGTACAGATAATGTGGGTAATGCTGCTTGAGTGGGGGAGAGATGAGGGAAGGAGAGGGAAGGAGGTAGAGAAGCTATCTAAGCTTGGCCAAGAATTTGCAGCCATTCTTCCTGGCTATGGCACCTTGGTGTATTTATCCCTCTAGCTCAGATTATTGCAAGATGTGAGTGACAATCAAAGACCACCCAGAAACTGGTAGACGCAGATTGCAGCTCCCCACATAATTAATGGGGCATCTCTCAGAGCCCTTGTAAGCTTTGTGTGTCACTAGCTCCTAGGTCATGTCTGGGATCTGTAAGGGCCTGCGGGGTGCTACTCATTTCAGAATACACCTCTCCTTACATTCTAGCCTGGCAGATGAGCGCCAATGAGCAATTTGAGTTGACTGTCCCTAGTTTTGTGTGTCTGGGGCTGGGGGAAGAGACTGTTTTCAGCATTTTTGATGCAGTATTTTTCCAATTGCAAAATGCCAATTAGTCAAAACCAAAACTATTTGTGAGAAAGGGTCAGTTCTGGTGAATTTCTCCATTCTCCTGCATTGGCAGGGCATCAGTGGAACACCCAGGAAGACACACACACACAAAAAGTGTGTGGCTAAGGCACTGGCATAGGAGGTGCAGGTTCAAATCCCACTATTGCCATGGACTTCTCCCATGACTGTTAGCACCTCACTTAACCTTGGGGTGCTTCAGTTCCCCATTTGTAAAAGGGGATTGCTAATCAGATCCCCTTCACAGGGCTAGGGGGAGGATGAACCCATTCATAATTGTGAAGTGCTTAAATACTACAGCGAAGGGGCCACATAAGTGCCAAGGTTGTAGGCATGTGGGGCATTCAAGCACACTATACAATTCCTGCCCCAAAGTTGGATCAGGGTGGGAAGTAGACAGGGTGAATGCAAAGCACCATGGGGAGAGTAAAGAAGATGGTGTGGGGAGTGTCTCAACCCCACATCATTTTTAGCATGCAGTGGGCATCTCAGCATAGGAACAGGCATAGCAAGGCAAGGTTGCTGCACCAGAGGGTTTTTCAGGCTGAAGGATTCCCAAGCAATAGGGTGGAAACAATACTAAACTGAACGGGCCCAGTAAGAAAGAGGTTCTGATCAAAGGACGGTTAATTGGGGCTCTTATTCACAATCTGTTTTCAGCCTGTCTAAGTCGTAGGAGAATGGCAAAGAGAGGGGAAAGGGCATCGGCACCCGTGGAAGCTGAATGAGACTCTGCAGTTAAACACTCAGGATAGAGCAATTACTGGAACTTTTTGAGCCAATTCCCATTAGGAAAGTGCCAAGCTGCCTTTGTCCTATGGAGATGAGGGAAAGGTCAGTGTTATATGCAGAAAAAACATTGGCGGAAAGAGACCGCTCAAGGGAGCGGAGGGAAAGGAAAAGGTCTCTTCAAAGGTGAAAAATGAAAGCGCGAGAATGACATTTGGAGATGAAGCTGAACCAGAAGGGAGGAAAAAATAATCAAAATAAAATTACACGCGAAGCAGACTTTCCTTTAGGACGGCATCCGTGAGGGAGGCTTTGAGTGGAATGGCATGGACCTCAGGCTGTGAGTGTCAGCACTTTGCTTGCTCCATTACACAAGGTCCTTCCTTCTAACACAAACTCAGCGCAGGTTTGCAGAGAGGCCGGCACAGCCCATAGCTCTTGCCTTTTAATTAGCTCTAGTGGAGGCTATTCACTAGTAAAGATATTGAACTGCTGGGCATTCTGGGTATGTCCCTTCTCTGGGTTAAGTGGTAATTAGTCCTAATTAGGACCGAATAAATATTTCAGATCATTGGGACTACCACAGGTGACCATTGGAGACCCAGAAGTCTTGGAGCACCTCTCCTAGCTGGCTGTAAATCTTGGACGAGGTTGCCACTGTGCCATACTCCAGCTGCTGGAGAGAGGCAGGCAGCGGCTTCAGCTTCCACAACACATTACAAGAAAAATCAAATTAAAATTCATACTCAATGTGCACCACAGTCCGGTATTTACACCTGCAAAGAACTGCGTCCCTAGGAAGGTACACGGGCTAGTGTAACGCCAACTGACTCCGCTCATCGGTGGGAGGGATTGAACCGGGAACCTCTTGAGTTTAGCTCATGAGCCTCTAGTGCAGGAGCTAAAAGCCAACAGGCTGTCAGCCAAGACTGCAGATCAGACTCCTTTTCCTCTCTAAGTGGTCTTGGTTCCACTAGATGGGACAGAACACCACACCGGAGGTGGTGTGGGGGTTACACTAGCATGGTCCATGCAGCATTCAGTCCGAGGAGAAAAGTATCTTGAATTATATGGGGAGGAAAAGGCTGTAGAAACCTGCTGAAGCAGATAAGTCTCCCCAAAATGCAACTCCTTGAATAGAATCTCAGGGTTGGAAGGGACCTCAGGAGGTCATCTAGTCCAACCCCCTGCTCAAAGCAGGACTAATGCCCAACTAAATCATCCCCGTTTCTTTAAAGGGTTCTGCTACCTTCAACAACCTGATCAAAGTCCAATGATTATATTGCATGCTACATGTGAGTGGATGGATATTTGCCTCAAGAGAGGTACAAAAATCAGGGAAATTTTAGCCTCCATGTCAGGAACACAGTTAAAGCCAAATTCATTTCTATTGCATTCCACTGAAGTGAAGGGCATTACATGAGGCATCAGTTTGGTCCATATGCTTCTATCTAAAGCTGGCAAAGTGCAGAGAGCTGCGAGTGGAGAATACTCATGCAAATGCTGACAGTGAATCCTACTTCTGACTTGCGGAATAATTTTCTGACAGCCATCCCAGCTATTCCACATCCCTGCTATTCCAGTCCTGCAATCTGACACAGCTCTGCAAATGTGCCTCAAATTTAACCCACAGCAAGTCCTCCTTTTTTCAGTGTGTTGCCTCACACAACTCTGCCCATGGACTGGGAGCTTAACCTGCAAATGCCTTGGCTTGTCTCCTCCTGGGATCCTCTCAGAGCTTGACTGTAGTCATGGTGTAATACAGACTCCTGAACTCCTGCGCTCCAATGCACGATCTCCCACTGACCTGATGGGTGACCTTGGAAAAGTCTCCTCCTGTCTCTGTGCCTCAGTTTCCTCCTTAGTGAAATGAGGAAAATAGTTATCCAACTCACAGGGATGCTGGGAAGCTGAATGAATTAACATTCATGAAGTGTTCTATAAAATTCTCAAACTTACTGCTATCATGTTCCCATGTCACTCAGATCTTTTCTTTCAGCTTCTTAACTGCAGGCCTGATGCAATGTGTCCTGTAAGGAAAGATGAAAGGCAACTGCAGCTTTGTCTTTCATTACCTTGCTACTCTAATAAACAGCAGTGGGTATTCATTATTATTTAAACATCCCGTGCTTACGAAGTCTTATTTAGCTGGCATTTTCCCACAGCACATGTTGGAATTTACAGTAGGTGCATTCATTCTACAACAAACATTTGATTTCCTTCACCCACAGATGCAGAGCTAATGAGGAGAGGTTTTCCCTTGTCATCTTGTGGGGGGTCAGGCACACAATTAGCATTTTGCAGAGATCTAAGAACAGAAATGGTACAGCTTATCCTGCAGTAAGGTATGGAATACAAGCTCTGTACAGTAGGAGGGAATGGAACCCCTCAGGCGCTAGGTAGTACATACCATACATGGGGTGCAAAGACCTGTACAGCAGACTGAATTTTACTGCTTCCTTATTCATCAAAGCCACAATCTGACGTGCAGCGAAGGCTAACTGGCCTCTCTGAAACTAAGACATGTATGGACTATAAAGGAGAAAAGGAGAAGGAGGGCGTTCTTAATCAGAGCTAGCTTCCTCAGCATAGTTCTGCTTTGATGCAGCAGCTGCTCCTCTTTCTCATGTCCTCAGGTGGGTTAGCGGAGGTGGCTTTCCCAGGCTCAAACAGTGAGTGGGTGGCAGAGTCCTGGTTTTAGAAGCCAGATTTAACATCTCCGGGGGGGGGGGGAGGGGGGGAGAAAAGAAAGAGAGCACGATCTCTCCACGACAAAGCTTTGTATCCAAATCCAAACGCACCCCAACCGTGTTTGGCCTTGCCAAGCATTTAGCAATGCTCAGACCCGGTGTTCTGGTTCAGACCCCCTCTGCATTGCAGTAGAATCAGTCCTCAGAACATCAGACCATTTCTCCTGCTTTTCGGCTTACAGCTGCTCTCTACTATACCAGGACGCACAGGTCGCAGCTGGGGCTAGCATAGGCTGCAATCACTAAGCCTGCAAGTTCCCTGACTTGTTGACAGCACCCTCTTACACCCCATTGTCTCTCCTAGAGAGTGCCATCCCAGATGGGCTCCCCTCTTTAACTAGCTCATGCTGGTTTGTGCTCCATTGGAAAACAAGGGGTGGAGGCAAATCATCATCTAGTTGCCAAGTGGAAACTAGAGGAAAAAATATTTTCAGGCTTCTGCAAAAAGACCAGCTCTGATGGAGAACACAAGGGGGCTTGGATGGGGCCTGGGATACGGGACCTGACCTGAGCCCCTAGAAGGGAGTGGAAAGACTCCCCATCCCCTGCAGGTGGAGAAGAGTGGGCACGCAGGACCCAGGAGTGGGTGGAACCGTGGCTCCTCTCCAACACACCAGGGCGCTGGCGCACAGGGGATGTATTCTGTGCCAAGCGTAGGAAGGACACAGGGCACATCACTCTTGAAGCAGGAGATTTGCTCCCTGCTCTGCTCCTGGGGCAGCAGAGCAACTCACTGCCCCATAGATTGGGCTCATGGCAAAGCCAGTTAACTCATAACAAAGGTTTACATTCAACTGCCCTTAATCACATGGCAGTGCACACTACTCTGCAATTAGTCCCACGGGTTTCCACAGGAGGGTTCACTGAGCAAGATGCTGCTTGGCGTGAGGAAGGGCATCAGAGTCTGTCCCAAAGTATTTGTGCAGTGCCTGATGCAAGCTTTCCCGGCATGGCTTTGATATTCCAGAATCAATTACATTACTTCCTTCAGAACTCCCTTCTATGCCAGCTACGCCAGCTCTGTGGGATAAAGAGCATTGCAACCTCCAGTCACTGTGGCAGCTCGAGCAATTTCTCCTTTTACACATACACACAATCTAACAATTGTGGAATGGGACCCTGCAGGCAAGGAATATCAAGCAAAGCAGCTTTTGTGATTCTGCCTGCAGAGCAGAGCGAGCCCTGCTTCACAGTTCAAGATATTATCGGCAGGCTGCTCGGTGTAACTTTATTTAGATCTTTCTGTATTAATTGTATGGAGAAGGGCTCAAAAGTTGAGAATGAGGTGGGAATCTTTGATGTAGGAGGCTGTTGTCTCTGAATAAAGCTTTATATTATGCAAAACAAAGGGCATTAGTTAGAGTTCTTCAATTAATCAGCACAGTGGTCTATCATCTTGGGTCCCCCCCACCTGCTTTGTTTAACGGGAGGTAGCAGCACTTGAGAAATGAACCTTTTACTAGTGGGCTCATTTCAAAAGAGGGGTCATGCAAGGAAGAGATGAAACTGCAGCATTGCTCCAGTCACAGACCAGCTGTGGAATTTCACAGGCCAATTATGGGGGAACCTGGCAGGAGGGGTGAGTGAAGCCTGCAGTTTTGGTCAGTTAACCATTCTACACCATTATGGCCAATGAGTGAAATATACAGTTCATGGTGCACTGTAAGAGTGGGGAAGTTGTGCTGAAACTTAGAGAGAAAAATTATCCCAAGTGCTCAATAAAGTTTACTAACTTAGACCATCCATTGGTTTTATGCAGACAGTATATTGTGTGTGGGGGGGGGGAGGGGAAGAGGAGGAGGAGGAAGAGTAGGTACACTTGAAGGAAGACC